CTCCCCATAAAAATAGTTAATGCCAATTGCAAGATATTGGAGATTAGGATTTGTAAAGCCAATATTGAATGGGATTTTACCATAAAACTGATTCACAGCAATTGATAGATAATTGAGTGACGAAAGATTGAGTATAGGAAGTGGAAAACTTCCAAACAAGTTGCTATCAACAAGTTGCAAGTGCTTCAATTTTCCTAGTCTTCCAAGCTCAGTAGGAATGCTACCATGAAAATGATTTTCTCCCAAGGATAATACAATAAGTGATGATGCATTGCCCAACCATTGTGGTATACTTCCTGTTAACTGATTGGCATAGACTTGAAAAAATTGAAGACTTTTTGATAGGTTTCTAAATTCCATAGGGATTTCGCCTACAAGGTTATTAAGCGCGAAATCAATGATTCGCATCTTTGAGCAGAATACCAAATTGCTAGGAATTTGCCCTCGTAAGACATTGTTGCTCACATCGAGATATATCAGTCGAAATAACCGGCCAATCTCTTTCGGAATGTCACCTTTGAAGTTGTTGTCGCTTAGGTTGATTTGCCTGAGAAATGATAGATTCCCAATATGAGGAGGAATTGAACCAACCAACTTCTGCCCGCCAAAATTCAAGACAGTGACTCTTCCTTGGTGTCTTTGGCTACATGAAACCCCTCTCCAATTGCAAAAATGGAGAGACTTATTCCAAGAACTCAAAACTCCTCGTGGATCTTCCTCTATGTGATCCTTGAAGGCCAACAATGCATGTATGTCGGTTTCATTTGTGGGAGGAGTTTGAAAGCCGTGGCCTAGGTGAGTCGTGCAGATGATGAGAATGTTAAGAATGATGGAGAATTGTAAATTCAGAGCTACCTCCATTTTTCTCTTTAGTAGAGAACACTGAGAGTTCCTACCAAAAAAAAAAAAAGAAAAAAAAGAAAAGAAAAGAAAAGCGTACACAGAGAGAAAACAGGGAATGGTTCAATTGAGTAAACAAGGCACAACTTGATAATGTTTAAAATTGAAACTTACTGGCTTCTTGCACATTTATTTTAATTAAAAGTGTTGGTGAATGTTAGGTTAGGATGCTGGACATTTTTTATTGATTGCCTACTCAGTAACCACTTTGCCTGGAGTTTTAAAGCAGATTAGTACCAACACTTAGTAACAGCGATTAAAAAATGGAAGACAAAACCATATGTTAAGTCTTAAACTAACTTCAGATTCGTTATTAAACTCTTAAATTTTAAATGATGCATATAAATACCTAGATTCCATGATCTTAGCAATTTAGTCCTTAATTCTTTAACAGAATAAGGACTAAATTACTGTAAGAATAATTATTATATTGCTCAAACCACGAAGTTAAGGGATTTATACGCATTGATTAAAGTTTGAGTCTCAATAACAAATCTAAAATTAATTCAAGAACTTAAAATATGATTTTACCAAAATAGAATGCAAAACTAATTGAATCTTCTATTTCTTTTCCCAGAACATACAAAAAAACCTATTAAAAAAACCTCTCAACAAATCAAACAAAAAGAGAGATGAGAGAAAAGACTGTAGAAGAGAGAACACCGCTTACTTACCCTCTCTCTGGCATTCCTTC